GCGGGGCCGAGCTGTCCGACGAGGGGGACTTGAGCTCGTACGCTCGAGTGGGGGGAAGGGTTTGAGGAGTTCCCCCTCATGAGATTTTTTTTTTAAATACCAACCTCTGGATGGCCAGAAATGACACTCTCAGACTGTGACAGACGTGTTGGCTTGGCGTGGGCCTGTCACGCCAAAATTTGTCCGGCCCAAAAATGGTCCGGTGGACAGATTTTGGCCGCAAAGTCGGTCCACCGGACTAATTTTGGCCGCTAAAATCGGTCCCCCTTGGACAAAATTGGTCCGTCAGCCTGGCCGCTCACATCTGCTGCCCGTATGGTATGATTGTTTCTCGGGCCGTGAAGTGGAGAGAATTAATAATTATGCTTCTCCCACACTTGAAAAATCTTTTGCAGTGACAGAATGGTTCGTATTTAGCTTTTGTGGATCAGGGTGTGGACGGATTTTATCAAACACACATGATAATGCATTCCTAGGCATAAGCGACACAAACTTGCATTTTCGGCGGCCGTGCTTGGCCTAGGTTTTTTAGCCTAAAATGAAACATAAGTCTGATTTATTAGCTTTAAATATTCCATATTACGTGGTATTAGGTCATACAATAGTAATTGTTCTATTACATGAAAATAAAAGGGGTGAATAATTTTTTTTTTTAAATGATTGCTCATTATTCTACCATTTCGTCGCAACGTTATACTAAGCACACAAACCAAAACAAAACAAGGTAAAAATTAAAGTAAAGCAGACCAACACGATTTACGATCATATCGTTTATTAAGTTCTTTTCTAACTTTTACACATAAGAGTTTACTGGGCACGAAGAGCGAAAATAAACATAAGCCTACTAATTTTTGTGGCTGTAAACTCAATTGCACACACAACGAATGAAAAAATATTATATGAGATGAGATATCTATCATTGGTTAAAAACAAATTTGAACAATGCTAAAAAATACAGGTTATAACTACTAAATAGATGCCGGACCGATTTTGGCTCCTGACCAAATTTTTCCTGACAGGCCTACTTTTATGTTTTTTCAGTCAAACTGCCCGATGAGCTCTGTCCGATAGGGGGGGGGGGGCTTGACCTGTAAGGTGGGGGGACTTACGCCCGGCTGCCCCCCGCTGGTGTCGCCACTGCAGACGAGTAGGGGATACCGCAGTGCACTGGTCCATACAGCCCATGTCATGGACAGACAAGAGTAGCTGATACCGGTTTACTGGATAACTCAAACACTCAAACAGACACTTAGGCAAGAAGCAATTGGTTATTGTACAATTTACAGTAATCCACACCTGAAGCACTTTGAGACTGAGAGGAATAAAAGATTATTTAAAAGAATCAAATTATATTCTTCTATTAACGAGAAACATTAAAAAAAAAAAAAAAAACTTTAACAGATTTACTTTACTGTATATGAATATTAAAATCTTTAAATTAATTACCAGCCAATTTCGGGATTGATACAACTTGGTAAGCATACAGGAAAATAACTGTCCGAAAATTGACGGGATGGGGGGGGGGAGGTTGGGGATTTTTAATTGTAAGTTAATAATAACAAATTAAGCAATTCAAATGTGGAATTAAATTTGTTTCATTTTTTTTTTACCTCATGACTGATAATACTTCTTTTAAGCAAAGTAAACGAGATTATTAAAAATGGTAGTCATCCACCCACTATACTAAAAAATTAATTCAATGACCACGTGAGCAGGGGAAGATTTGGGGGGGGGCCAGCCCGGCCCCAGCCCCCGCTTTTGGGAGGTTAAAAAAGAAAAAAAAAAGAAAAAAAGAAAGAAAAAAATGATAGCCCAAAACGCCTCAAATGTTATTTTCGGGCATCCAAAGCACACAAAAATTTCGCGGGGGCATGACCCCCGGAACCCCTAGGACATTGTTGTCTCGATCGGCCCAAATTTCGGCCCCCCCTTTTGGACATCTCTGGATCCGCCCCTGCTGAGGCCGGATTAAATCACAATGGGAAAAATTCATGTTAGATATTCATTTGTTGCAAATGCCACTCAAATTTTGTAATTCCAAATTCTGAATCACTGTTTTTATATTCCATTGATGCTGCAATCGGTTATAAATATCTCATGTCATGTTTTATCTTGAAGTTAAAATAAATACTGTGTTGGTTTTAAATATTTTATTGTCTTGATCTATGTCTTGAATTGAAGTAATGCTAAACAGTTGGTTTTAAATATTTCATGTCATGTTTTATATCTTGAATTTAAATAATAAATACTGTGTTGGTTTTTAATTTATTGTCTTGATATGTTTTTATTGTTGTATTTTTTGAGATTGTTGTTCATTTGCATTTCATTGTATTTTGTATTTTAACCCAATAAATTCAATCAATTAATCAATCAATTTTGATCTATGTCTTGAAGTGATGCTGTACAGTCAAATTTAAATATTTCATGTCATATCACATCTTAGTTATATGCTGTATAGTAGGTTTTAAATATTTTGTTTGATTTTTATATCGATTTTAAATATTTTGATGTCTTGTTTATGTTTTAAGGTATAAGGCTTACTACCATAAAAAATTTGAATTGTAGCCCCGGGCTTCCTCTAACTGTGGATGGGCTTCTTTTCGAGACTACTTTTGCAAAGTAAAGAGGGGGTCTCCATTTCAAAATGAATGCTGTCAATTTTGTGAATTTGTACACGTTATTAAACAATAAATAAGACCACTGTAACACCAATCTGTATCATGGATTGTATTTAACCGGCATTAAATCACGTAAACTACTGTATAAACCAAGCTTGTTTTCAATTTATTTTGTTTTTGAAAGTCATGTACAGTGTATGTAACTGTACTATCTTGAAAAGAAGCCTATGCTACTGTATCTTGAAAAAAAGCCCATGGCCCTTTTTTCGGCTAATTTTGCAAACTAAAAGAGGGGGGCTTTAATTTTGAGGTGTTACCGTATATAGTACTGTATACCTATTAGAAATTATTTCCATAAATGCTTTCTTATGGCAAGAATGTTTTTTAGACTTTGAATGCAAATTATGCAAGCAAACAAAGATTTTCATTGTAAAAATAAAATGCAAGTTAATAAAAACATGATTTTATTATTCAGTTTATAACTTCTTAAAAGTTGATAATTTTGTTTGTCATTCTTTTAAATAAGGAGTTACTTTTTATATTTGCTAGAAGTCTACAGTGTATGGTTCATGAAATCCTTGTTTGACATTGGCAGGTTGATGATTAAATTGGGTGTGCACCACTCTACAAGGAAAATAACGAATGTTGACATTGACAACAAGAGATGTTGCCATATAAAATGTCACTCAGTAAATTAAATTATATGCCTTTAATATATTTTGGTGTATACTGTAGCTAATATATCATTTTTTCTTCCTTCTGGATCATTCAAAGTGTATATTTATTCATTTATTTATCACATTTAATAGGATTTTCCAGAAAACTGATCGCTTTTTTCCTGGTCATAGGATACAGTATAACTCATACACAACGTGCAAACTCCTCCATTCCCTGGGGAGTATTGGTCTATGCGTGTAATCAGCACACAGTGGCTACGGTCACACTAGAGTTTCAAGCCTGGCTTGACTCACCGCGGTTGAGATTTTCGTAATGTGACTGCATCTGCACCGACTCGCGCCTGGCGTAACCTCGATGTCAATCTACCTATCTCGATCCCGGCTCAGCACCCATATTGACCCTGGATTGACTCTGGCGTGACCGAGACTGACATTTCCTCGTCGGCTGTCGACCAACCACAGTCGATGACGCCGTTGCGTTTAGAAGTTCTTGAATAAAAAACCCACGAGTTCTTCATGTGTGTTCAATCAAGATGCAATCATTACTTTTCATAAAAGTTAATTCAAATTTTAATTAATAATAATGCGATTGATTTGGAACGACCAGGAAACTGCTGACCTGGTAGATTTGTGGGGCCAACCCGAGCTGAGAGACCGGATAGAAAATAAAAAAACAAACAACAAAACGGGAATTTTTGGCGTGCTTGCTGACAGATTAGCCAGTCTC